TGCTGGGGGCGTGTTGGATTAAAGCATGCCACCTGCCACCAAGTAGCCAGAATGAAATGAATGAGCCAGTAATACTGGCAGTTGGCATGGAGGAAATGGTTTGAGATAACTCCCACTTAACGTTTCAGGCTCTGCTTCCTAGCCTTGCTTAAGGTACATAATCATGATTTAATGTTGAACAAATGAGCCATTCATGAATTGGGTGGTTGCAACTCTTTAGTGGTGTGTGTGTGTGTGTGTGTGTGTGTGTGTGTGTGTGTGTGTGTGTGTGTGTGTGTGTGTGTACAAACAAATGGAATTAAACCTTGAAAGCTTGGGGGGTTGGTGTGTAGTTCCCATAGTCATCATACGTAATTATCTACTCAATGAGTAAAGAGACAAGTTACTGCCCCAGGAAGCCACTCTAGTGGTGTGGTTTGAATGAGAAATGTCCCCTATGGGATCCTGTATTTGAATACTGAGCTTCTGCTGGTGCTGCTGTTTGGAGAGGCATGGACCCTCTAAGAGGTGCAGCATTGCTGGAGGAAGCCCTTGATTATGAATGGGCTTTGAGGGTTTATAGCTACACCCCATTTCCAGTTCACTCTTGCCTCCTCTGTGCAGTTGAGATGTGCTCTCTCGGCCTCCTGTTCGGTCCCTTGTGCATTTCCTGCCATTATGGACATCTAGCCTTCAGTGACTTTAAGCCAAAACAGACCCTTCCTTAAGTTGCCCTTAGTTGTGATGTTTTTATTCAGCAACAGAAAATAACTAACATAGTAATTTTCTCTTTGGTTCAATTTGTATCTTATTGATGACTTTTAAGCATCTGTCTTACTTAAGAGTTTCTCTTGCTGTGAAGAGACACCATGACCACAGCAACTCTTATAAAGGAATACATTTAATTGGGACTGGCTTACAGTTTCAGAGGTTTAGTCCGTTATTGTCATGGTGGGGAACATCGTGGCATGCAGGCAGACACGGTGCTGGAGAAGGAGCCGAGAGTTCTACATCTTGATCTGCAGGAAGCAGAAGAAGACTGTGTGTTACGGTAGCTTGAGCATGTAAGACCTCAGACCTGCCTCCACAGTGACACACACACTTCCTCCAACAAGGCCACACCTTATGCCGCCACTTGCTACAGACCAAGCATTCAAACACACGAGTCTGTGGGGCCATACCTATTCAGACCAGCACGGCATCCTTTCTTGTACTTTATCATCTCTCCGTTTGGTCTGTTCATTTACAGCTGTTTACATTGAGACTTTTTTTAAACTTAATTTGTTTATATTTTTAAATTCAATTTTTGAGAGTTCTTTGCATGCTAGATTCAGGTATATTATCTGAGATATAATTAGCAAATCCTGTCTGCAGCTTGTCTTTACTTAGAGAATTGTTTTTAATTTTGATGGTCTATTTTATTGTGTTTTTTTAAATTATAAATTGTACTTTTTTGTGTTGTCTGATGAATCTTGGCTTAATCCCAAGGTCACTAAGGCTTTCTTTTTACTTGTTTTCCTTAGACATTTAATAATTTGATTTCGATCTGTTCCATTTTTGAGTTAATTTTCCTGTGTGGTACACGGTGTGGAACAAAGCGCACTTTTCCAAGCATTAAGAACACTGAATTGATTGTTGGGAAGACTCCTCACCTGCACGGCCATGGTCGTGCCTGTCTGCCTGGGTCTGTCTAGTCACGCTGTCTGGATCAATAGGTGATGTTTGTTACTCAGCTTTATTCTTTATCTAGCTCTTTGGCTGTTGTACATTCTATGTATTTCTATATGAACTTGAAAATTAGTTTGTTGGCTTTTTTATTTGTTTGTTTTGTTTTTTTGAGACAGGGTTTCCCTGTGTAGTTTTGGAGCCTGTCCTGGATCTAGCTCTGTAGACCAGGCTGGCCTCGAACTCCTCGAGATCCACCTGGCTCTGCCTCTCAAGTGCTGGGATTACAGGCGTGCGCCACCACCGCCTGGACGTTTGTTGGTATTTTGATTGAGTTGTTGGAACTATTAGTCAGATTGGAGAGAATGACCATCTAAATAATTGAAAAATTCTTACCCATTGTCAGTGTAAATAAGAGAATAAGAAACTTTGCCCTGGGGATATAGATGCCATAGTAAACGCAAAAAACATGGACAGTGCTCAGGACGGTTAAAGCAAGGGCAGACTTTTGAAGGCAGAAAGGAGACTGTGTAAGGCACTTAGACACAGAGTTTACTTACTTATTTAAGGAGGTTGAGGCGGGAGTATCAGTCAGTCTAGATATTTGCTTGTAGCAAGCTTTCTTGGACTACCAGCCCCAAAATCATGACATGGAGACTTGTTATTAATTATGAATGTTCAGCCTTAGCTTAGGCTTGTTTCTAGCTAGCTTTAAAAAAAAAAAAAAAAAAACACTTAAATTTACCGACTTCTATTAATCTGTGCACTGCCCTGAGGCTTGATTACCTCATCCACATGCTGTCCATTCTGCTTTCCTGCTTCCTCTGTGTGTGTCAAGCACCTCCAGTTCAGTGTTGAGGAGTGGACGTCTCTGTCCCTTGTCACGGGGGAAATAGCTAGGCTCTGTCACTTGGTGACATGTTAGTTTTAAGATTCTTAGGAAGTCCTCTCTATGCCTAGTTTTCTGGGACTTTTTCTCAGGAATTGCCATGAGGTTTTGTTAGCTTCTTTACTTATATAGTTACTGAAATCACCATATTTTTCTGCTTGCTTATCAATACAGTGACTTATATTGGTTATCTTTTAATGTTAAGCTAGTCTTGCATTCTTAGGATACACTGTACTTGAACATGTTAACATTGTCCTTTATTACAGTAGTCAGTTTGCTGAATTGTTAGATTATTTTCATCTTTGCTTTTTTTTCTCTCAGTAGTATTTATGTCTGGTTTGGTTGTAAGGTAATATTAATTCACCAGTGAGTCCATCTTGTCTCTTTGTGGGGATGTTTGAAGCTACAGGTTTAACTTTTCATGGATGCAGGACTGTGAAGGTAATCTTCTTCTTCTAGAGTGAACTTTGAAAGTTCTTTTTTTTTTTTAAAGGAATTTGACTATCTTATCCGAATTGTCAAATTTATTAACAGTTTTCCATGATATCCCCCAGTATCTTTCTATCATAAAAATTGTAGTCGCGTCAACTTCCTTGTTTTCAATATTGGTATATATATTTCTGTTGAGCTGCCTGGCGAGGGGCGTACTGATTTTAGTGATGCAGAAAATTAGTATTTGGTTTCAGTCATGTTCTGTTTTCCCTTTTTGTTTTAGAAAGAGCTTCTCTCATCCACTCTTCTTCCCCAGACTGGATTTATTTTGCTCTTTTTCCATTTCTCTAAGAGAAGCTGAGGGTAGTCTGACTTCTGCTCTTCCTTGTCTGGTGGTTAGCACTCTGCATTCCCACTAGGTGCTGTGTTCGTGACATCCCCAGGCATTGCTGTTTTTAGTTTCATTCAATTTAAAGGTCTTTGTAATTTCTCCTTTGATTTCTTTAGCCCATTGCTCTACTGTTGAAGTGTATTTTAAAATGCCGTATTAGCATGTGTTGAGTACCCTAATAATGGGTTCCCTTGTGGCATTTTCATCCATGTACATAGTGTCTTTGGCCACGGTCACCTCCCATTACCCTTTCATGTCCTGTCGTCCCCCCCTTCACTGTCAGCCCCTTTCCGTGTTCATGTCTTCAGCTGCTGTTGGCTCGTTGGTGACCCAGTGAGTTCCATTGGGTCGCTTACAGAAGCATGGGGGAAGGTTTGTTTACAGGCACATAAGCCTGTATAACCTAGTAAGAGCCTGCACGGCCCCTTCCTGCACTGCAGGGCTGGCTGGCAGAGAGGAAACTTCCTGCCCAGGTACTGTTTCCAAAGAACGGGATGGACTGTAAACAGACCTACCATGCTGCAGGGAAACAACGTTTCATCAAAGGAGGCATGGAGGGCAAGGCGTGAGGGAGACAGTGCAAGGCGTGGACATGGAGTCCGGCTGCTCTGTGGGAGGTGGTCAGAGGGCCTCCACGAAGACATTTGTCAGACCTGAGAAGTGGGCGGAGCTCTGGATTTGGGCAGGAGGAGCATTGAGGACAGCACTCAGATGGGATTGTGCTTCCTGAGTTTGGAGAGGCATGGCTGGAGAGGAAGATCATCTCATCTAGAACATTCCAAAACTGCCGAGTACTCTACCGACAGTCTCCAGCTGCATCATCCAAATCAAACAGTGTGGAGGCGGCTTAAACCCTGCCCCTGCCCTCTTGGAGTTTTTGAGCTCCCTACCTGACCTGAATTCACTGTAAAGAGCAGTTGGCTTTGAACTTGAAGTGATCCTCCTGCCTTTGCACCTGGAATGCTGGTATTACAGGTGTGCACCGTGACACCTGGCTGCTTTTGAGTGTGGACAGCGGGGTGGGCAAGGGACAGTCCTTTGTGTCATTGTCCAGCAGGGGACTAACGAAGTGTTGGACCATAGCTGTCTGTCATGCCATTTAGCGTCAGTCTGGCATGGATAATGCATGTTCTGTCTTCCTGAAGGGTCATGCCGTTTTCACTGTGGTCCTTGTCAGTTCTGGTGCCTACAGGGTGGCTCCGGGTAGTGCTTTTTTCCTTACTAGGGACATGGCTGACTCATGGTCTTACTGTTCCTCTGAAGGGACTCAGTCACTAGATAGTCCTTGGGAAAATTAGAAGCCCCCAATGTTTTCATAAAAAGAATCAGTAGATGATTCCGAATTCCGTTCTGGTTGGTAGGTTAGAAAAGTCTAAGTACATACTTTCACAGTTAGTTTGTATTATTCCGCTGTGCCTGATGCCACAGTGCCTTTTGCAGCTCTACAGGTGGTTGGGATAGTTTCACAGGACGTGATGAGGAACCCGGTCTGGAAGGAGAGCGACTGTGCCCACTGCCCTCTTCCAGCTGTGCACGAGCGTGGGAGTGGTGAACTCTGGGAAGGGTAGAGTCACACCACTGACCGCAGCGGCAGGACTAGTTCATTCCAGATACGGGAATTCACCCATTTCTGTCTTGTTGCAGGTATTTCTTGGTGGATTTTTATGCCCCAACAAGTGCTGTGGAAAGCATATTGGATCACTTGGCTCGAGACATTGATGTGGTTAGACCAAATGTTGTGAAACATCCTCTGACCCAGGAAGTAAAAGAATGTGGTGGCATTGTCCCAGTCCCACTTGAAGAAAAACTGTATTCAACAAAGAGGAGGAAGAAGTAAGATTTTCCGGATTTCGGCCTTACATCGAATCCTAAGTGCACATTGGGTGCTGATAGGTTATTTTCTAGGATGCCCATGCCCATGACCCTTCTGCTGCAGGAGGTGGGGACTGCTCGCTGAGACCTGCCCTGTCATCTCCGGTGCCTACAGACCAATCTTGGTTTCATTAGCATTGTGCAATTGTCAGTAAGGGTATCCACCTTACCACTGCAGCCTTTGGAGAGAAAATTGTTTGTTATTCATACTTGGGTGTCTTGCAAAACTAAATGGAAAACAGAGAGCAGAGTAATAAACATGACTTTACCAATCTGACTTGTGTATTGCCTCCCCCCACCCCATCCCAGCACAGTGTACCCCCAAAGCTGGCAGCTCTACTTATGCTGTGATACCCCACTGTGTTAGGAGGACTCTGAAGTTTGGGACCCAGGTGACCTAGCTCCCGGGGGACCAGACAGTCCACAGAATTAGCGCTGTCTTTCCCTGTCTACACAGCAGTAGTACTTGGAAGGACACGAGTGTTTGGGGACAGCTGGGCGTCAGCAGTGCTTCCTGCCACCCCTTCGCCACTGGCTTCTACCCCCTCCACCACCGTCCCTCTGTCCCTCAGCCATCCCTGGAAGGCCCTTTGGAAGAAGGCAGAGGGACGGTGTCCATGAGGCACACACAGGCTTTTCCTTGGAATAACAGTCCCAAGGATCTCATCAGTGGCCTTCTCAGGTGGTCCCTGCCATTACAGGTGACAGCTGCTGTTGGTAGGAAGTGCCCGTCACCTGGACTGCTGGTTGTGTGGAGTCATAGCACCAGGTTGTCCTGCAACAGGAAGAGGAGGAGGACAGGGGACACAGACCTGCACGTGAACCCCACGGTGCCGCTGTCGCTCCCAGCCAGGGTCCTGCAAAGCTGCCTGTCTCGGCCCTGGCCATTCCTGTGTCCCTGCTCCTGTCCCGAGGGCCCAGGCAGCACCTGCTTCAGCTCCTTCCAAGTGAAAATTACAGGATGTTCTGAAGAGCAACGGAGATGACTCTGAGCTTAAGAGTGCTGGCTGCTCTTCCAGAGGAGCCGGGTTCAATGCCCAGCACCCACACGGCAGTCCACAACCATCTGTAACTCTAGTCCAGGCTGTTCGATGCCCTCTTCTGTCTTCGTTGGGCACTGCATGTCCGTGCAGGCAAAACACTCATACACACAATAAAAAACTCAAATTAAAAAACAAAACAACCAATGAATCAGTTAAGAGGTTCAGAATTTAAGACTAGGAATGAAAGGGATAGAGTAGAGATGGATAGAGTAGAGATTATCTGGGGGAAATATGCTACTTCCTGTTCATTATGAATTCTCTGGAACTGTGGGCTGTTGACAGGGCTCCCAAGAGCCCGCATCCATCCACTAGACAGCTTGCATCCCATGTGCTTTTCCTCGAGTGCCATTGTCTTCCTCAACTGATGACGTCCTTGTTACATGCCACGTGCACATGTTGTCTCCTAACCTCATTTAACCTATTCAGCCCTTTGAGGGAGCATTGGTACCCATGCTTTTGGATGAAAAAGCGTGATGTGGGTTTGACCTCAAACCCAGTTACCGCATGATAGCTGGGGTCTCGAACTGGGGACTCAGACACTCTTCGGTTCTCATCTATCTTGCAGTGTTGATGTTGACTTTGCCTCTGAGGTTAAACGAGATTCACGGTGTCTGAGGGAATTGTTGCCGAGGGCAACAATTCCCATGGTCCGAGAGTGGCACTAACCCTGAGAAGACGATTGTCACCATTGGGCATTCCAGATCATGCGAGTGTTCAGAGCCCTGTGGCACAGTTTGAATGTTAAGGAGGTAGCTAAGTAGAACAGCTGTGCAGTGTGCTACTTCCCATTTGGATGCTTACACATGAAGTCACTGTCCCTCTGTCCTGAGTGATAATGTACGGTGGGCCCTAAGCAGCTTATTGCAGCTTCTGCCCATGCATGCCTGGTGTTTGAGCACATGCCAGTGACTTCCAGGCTGTGCGTCTTCTGTCAGAGGTAATCTTCCTTGGCTGGTGACAGTCTGAGTTGCTGTACAGTTCTCTGCTTCTTTAGTGAATGGTGATACACACACACACACAAAAAAAAAATGGTGATGCACAATAAACATGAGCTAGCACCGAGCAGGGAAGTGGATAATTAGCTGGCTAGGAATACACAGTACCAAATGGAAAAGTCCCACCAACGGCAGCCACAAAGACTGAGAAAGTAAGGCCTGAAAGGAAGGGTACCAGCAGAGATACCCAAGGCCCTGAGTGGGAGAGCAGAGAATTGGAGGGAAGCGGGCATGATAAGACATCTAGGGGCTAGTTCTGGAAGTCTGGAGAATTCTGAGAAATAAACTTGAAGAGATAGAGTCATGGACCTGAGCTGCAGAAGCCGGAGAGCTTAGACCTTAAGACCACAGCTCCCTCTGGATTCACATCCTTCCAGAGGGTGTCTTAGATTTGTAATTTTGACTATCTGGTCTACTTTGGATGGGGTCATCTTAACTGATACTCTTGGCTTAACTCAACTGCCCTTCATAATCCATGATTCTTGGACAGTTAAGATCTAGAGGCTAGATGGCCCGGGGTGGGCAGAAGCCACCCAAGCGGGGGCCCCCACAAATGAACAGACACGTAATGGAGAGGTGGGAAGTTAGGAGAGCAGAGCAGTGTGCGTACTAGGGAGAGAGGCAGGACTGGAGATGATGGTGGTGAATGGTGAGAGAGGGCTGAGTTCTGCATGCTGTTACTGCCCAGCAGGATTGGAGGGATGATGGACAACAGCCTGGAACTTAGGCAGACTCAGCCCCTGAACCTGCTGCCAAGCCTTGGGATCCCCCTGGCGCTGGGCAACAATGGAGGCCCGAGATGAGGAAAGGTTCACGTTCTGGATTGGACCTCTTTGTAAGACCGCCGTGGTCCTCGATGACACCAAAGGCCATGTTGGTGTCAATGGTCCATGCTGCTGCCCCAGGCCATGATGAAGCCTGAGATCCATGTGGATGTATGCGGTCTGTGCCGCTGCTCAATGCCTTGGTGATGTCATTGGGCTTTGCCACCTCAGGGAGCCATGCTGATGTGAGTGGCGTGTGTAGCCATCTGAGACCATGTCCAAGGACATGAGTGGGTCAATGGTCTTGATATGGCCAAGGGTAGTGTTGATGTGTGTGGCCTCTGTTACCACCACCAAAGCCCAAGCAGATGTCAATGGTCAGGGATACCGCCTGAAGCCAAGTTAATGTCCCTGGGCACAGGAGAGCTGGCCTCGCCTCTTGGTGGCCCACAGCACTGCAGTGCAGGTGGTGGTATGGGCATGGGAGAGCTAACCCTGCCTGACTCTGGCCAATGCATGGCTCTCCTCAACTGATGGCTTCTGGTGTGGATACAGGTGGAGGAAAACTCATCCTCCCTTGGGCTAGGAGTTTGACCACACTCCAGTGAATATATGGACAACCCAAAGTTGACTTGCTTTTTTCTTTTGTGTGTGTGTGTGTGTGTGTGTGTGTGTGTGTGTGTGTGTGTGTGTGTGTGTGTGTGAGAGAGAGAGAGAGAGAGAGAGAGAGAGAGAGAGAGAGAGAGAGAGCATGGGGAAGGGGCAGATATGAAAGACTGGGAGGTGAGTGCAGTGTGACCCAGGATGTGAGATTCCTGAATCATCAATAATAGTGATAATCCTTTAATAAAGGATACCCTTCGAAAAAGATCTAGAGACTGGACCGGCTAGGTGATGCTTTTCCTCACAGCCCTCTCACCTTCCCCGGTCCAGAGTTCCTCTTCTGCTTTCTCCCACCATCTCCTACAACCTACTTGCAAAGGTCCTGAGTGGAGTCCTTGCAATATCAATGTTTTGTCGGTGGCCCAAGGGTGCTTGCCTGTGGCCCAGTCCTGTGGAAAGCCAGAGCACGAAGTGTTCCTAGAGAGGTGGGTGATGGATGGAAGCTGAGGACCAAGAAGCATCTTTGAGCTAAGCCTTTGGGAAGATGTCCTCAACACATCTGCCAGTTGATGACTGTTCCAGAAAGCCCTCCATCGTGGAGCATCAGCAGAGAAGGTCCATGCTGATAGGGATGGGAGTATTCAAAGCCTTAAGCTGTGTCTCCTTGCCTCTGGGTCTAGCTGACTGGGTAAGAGTTAGGTGTTGGCCCAGCCCGGCTGAGGTCTGTGTGGCCAGCCAGAGCTCAGTATGAATGTTGTTCTCTTACCCTCTTCTGAGCAGCGAAGCCAGTCTTCCAGTCCTGCAGAGAAGACACAAAGGTCAGAGAAAATACCCTTATCTAAAGCCACGGGGAAGGAGTTAGATTGGGAGCCTGTCTGCCTGGTTCCCAAGGCCATTCTTGGCTTGACACACTCTTCTGGAGGCAACCCCGGCTGGCCTGCTGCCCACTCTTCGGCCTGGGTGACCTCCTCTCCTGGGCTGCTTCTGTCCCACAGCCAAACTCAAGCCCCAGGCTCCTTCCCTGGGGGCGTGGAGCTGGGGCTCCTTGAGAGTTTCTTTTCTTTGCAGGTCTTCAAAGAAGAAGATGAATTTCCTGGAGCCCAGGCCTCCTTTTTGCCTGCTGCTTGGTACCCTGAGTTCCCACCAAGCTCCCTCCGCACATTGCCGCAGGGGGATATTTCTATAGCGTACAGCACTGTGCGGGACGCAGGGATGCCCTGGGCAGTGCTGCTGACCTGGGCAGTGCTGCTGACCGCCAGGCGCTCACACGTAGCAGAGGATGTTGAAGTAGCTCTGTAAGTCACAGGCCATGATCAAAACAGCAACTGGGATCCAAACCAAGCACTGGGTGAATGGGGGTGGGCCCAGGAAGTTCGCTGCCATTTCATTGGCCCAGGGACAGCCGGCGTGGGTGGAGCACTGGTCAGGGAGATGGGGAGGCAGTGATGTCACCGTGTGTCTTAGGATCTCCCAGAGCAGGTGAGTGTGGTGTGATTGATAGGGCTGGAGCCAAGAACTGTCGCTGGGGCAGAGGCTGGGAAGTCTAGAGTCCGGGCCCCCTCTGGGGTGGATCCCCTTTGGCTCTTAAGCGTTTCCTCAAGCATCATTTGGAATAGCCAAGAAGAAAGGCTCTGCTTACAGGCGGGTAGAAGATGTGCCTTCTGACCTAGCAGCCCAGGGCTGGTAAAAGATTCCCCGATGCCCCGGGGGTAAGGAGGAGGAGGGCTGAGATGAGATTGTCTGGCATTCACAAGAGCTAGCGGGGCCTATCGGAAAGGAGACAAGCTTGCTCAGTGACCCTCAGCCGAACAGAGTGTTCCTTGAAGCGTGTGTGGGAGCATTTGAGAAGCACAAGGCCTTCCTTCTTTG